CTCTTTCCAGTTTAGTCTGATAGAAACAAGAAGATTCTCATGGCTTTCGATTAATCAAAAAGACTAAGCATTTCTTAAGCTAGCAGAAGCCTGGAAGTAAATGTTCTTGTGTCATCTGGCTAATTACATGAAGACAATTAAAAATAGAACTACCTTTTCTGTCCCTGAAATAGGCAGGCACACATTTCAGTTGTTTTATTTATTCCATTAGTCTTAACGATTTTAATTAATGACCATTAGTATTATTACTCTTTAAGGATTTTTTTCTTCCTATTGGAATTACAAACAGATATATTTAGAAGTGTGTCTTATGGACAGTTTCAAATATCTTGCCTAGTTTTTCTATTCGGTTTTATTTTTGCTGTTTACTTTCCAGGCAGATGTGACAGTTTCATTTTTTTATAAAAATATCAGGAAGATAATGTGTTAAGTTACATATTCTGTAGGACTGTTTAAATTTTCATAGTTGCCCAATGTATTTGTGTTTAACCGCTGACAGATGCTACCCTTTCAATTCTGATTTATAACAAAATCTTGTGCTGTTACGGAGTTTGGAATAAATGAGAGATGCTGAAGGGAAGTAAATTTAGCTAAGTAACTGTATAGATGTCTTCAATTAATTCTTATTTACTTCTGCAGGTATTAGTCACCATTTATTGGCTAGGGAAAGCGGCAAACAGCTGCACGTCATATAGTGGATCAACCCTGAACCTGAAGGAGTTCGAAGGATTGCTGGCACAAATGAGAAAGGTATCTTTTTGTTACGTTTTGGGAATGGACATTTCATTTGAATTATTACTCCCATAAATAACCTGTTTGTTGCTAAATATGACAGAAGTAGGAGTCTGGAGTACAAATTACTTGGTAAACCCCTACCTTCTTCAAAAATGTTTGACTCTATCAAGCCATGAACACAACTTTCTTTGGCAGACAGCTTTGTGGTGATACCAGTGATGCAGTATGTGATGTCAAACAGAGCCTTAGAATTGTCGCATGGCTCTGTCAGCTTCATTTCCATAGGTTTTGGTTTGAACTATTTTCATTTACGGCACACAGTTTCAGCTAGAAGAGCTGAGACTCAAAAGTAAGGTGGCAGGACTCCCAGGAGCAGAGAATTTGTCTTCATTCTCATGGGCAGCTCTTCTCATTCAGTCTCATGGGCAGCTCTTCTGTTTTTAAGTTGCAACATACAGCATCAAACCAAAGTATCTAAATAAAGCTGAAGGGTAGAAAGAGAAGATTATGTTTCACCAAAGGCGTAGTTATGATGAAGCTGTGTTTTGCCAAGCTCTAAATTCTGGCTGAAATCATATTTGGTGGTTTGTGATGAGCTGAGCTCTGTTGGAAAGGAAAAGCTGTGATTGCTGTAGGGGTGGTTTGGGGACTTTTGGTTGAGCATTCCAGTGTGCCCTGAACCTCAACATGAGACACTTAACCTCAATAATGGTTAGTGTTGATAGCCAAGCATGCGTTTACTGGGGATGCAAGGGGCAAGGAGCAGGCATGTGAGAAGATAGCAGCACCCGGTGCTAGCATTTCATGTGTTGGACATACTGCTCATGAAAGGCTATGGAGGTATCTTCTCCAGCCCACAGAGAGCTTTGTGCCTGCTACTCCCTCCCCATCTTATGTAATGGCAGAGTCACCACAGGCATTAGGGTTTGGGGACGATAGGAGACTGTCTGCTCTTTGCTTTCCTTGAGCTCAGTGTGGCTGCATCTGCACCAGCTGCAGCTCTTCATTGTGGTGTCTCAGAGGACTGGCACCACATTGCCACTGGAGGGGAAGAAGTACTTGGCTGACAGACAGCAGTTGCTATGCCCTAGTGTGACCAGAGAGCCTTAGCTAGACGGGTAAAATCCCTGTTTGTGAGCCCAGTTCCTGTGAACAAGCAGATGGAAATGGAGAGGAAAAGAGAACATCTTGTTTCTCTGTAGAGGTTTATTTTGGTCTTCATTTGAAATGACCTGCAGTAATTGCTCAGGACTTTGCCACTCATGAGTGATATGACTGAGACCAATAAAGAAATGAAGTTAATACTGTAATTGTTTCCAAACAGAAGATGCAGGGAAGGAGCAGTCCCCACTCCAAAGAGTCTGAAAGGTGGTCTTGCAGCGTGAGGCTCCTTTTTTTCCAGGTGATGTTTACCCATCAAACTAGTCATCAGAGCATTTTGGAGGTGTGATCTTGAGCCCTTTTGTGGGTTGAAGTAAGCTGGAGCCGAAAGGCGGCATTCTCCGGGGAGCTGGTGATCGTGGAGTGCCTGGCTGGGCAGTGCAGAGCACTGCAGGTCAAGGACAAAAGCAAGAGGCTGGGGTTTGATTCATTACAGATGTTGGAGCTGGGAGCAGAGTAGCAATCTCATAAAAACTGAGAGCTATATATTCCTTTAGTGTAAGAACAGAGCACTTCGCAGTTCTGAAAAGTCTTGTTTAAGTGGTACTGTTGTGAGGGCTGCTGGCATCTTATGTTAAGGTCACCTCCCTACTCCTGTACCCCTGCAGTATTTCCCATGGGCAATTGGGGGTATGTCTGTTACTGAATTTGAAGAGGATTTGGTTGTAAAATAGAAGGTTAATCATGCTGTGCAACACTCTGATGTTCTTTATAGCTGAGCTCGAGTGATGAAAAGACACTTTGTCACATTCTCTACTGGCATTTTTTCCACTGAATTTAATAATTAAATCGACCATAAATTCAGTCTGGTTTAGTTTTTTTGTTATGAATCCTCTCTGCCCTCTTTTTTTAATAAGCAAATCAAAAGACAGCTCAGATGTAAGTTGTCTCAGACTCATCTTTTTCTACTTCTCTTACTGAAAGGGCTATTCATTTCTAATTTTATTCATTCTACTCTGGTTTTAATTTCATTAACTATTGGGATATACATGCATTCTTACTTTTAAACTAGAAATTCCCAATGACAAAACGTCCATGGCTTTTTGATTATATTTAGTGGGTGGAGCTTCCTGGAGAAGTGCATCTTATCTTTGGCAGTCACACTTTTACTACCACTCGGTGACATACTGTGTTTTTAATGAGATAATATGAAAGACTAATGTGCTGTTTGCATGTCGTGTTACAGTGTTATCAGTCCCGCAGATAACCACTTTCTTTTTCCCATTGATAACATTTGGGAGATGACGTTTGCTCAGAGCAGGACAAGTACCCGTTTGTGGACGGCGTGGGGCTGGGAGAGTAGCTTTGCCAAGGGGAAGGCTGTAAAGAACATGTTTACAGAAGTCTAGGATCTCATCCTGGTGCCTGCCTCCTAATTCCTGGGGAGCGGCATGCAAAATTAACATCAACAGGCCTTTGAAAGTAGGGTCTGCAGAACTCATTAGTTCACAGTTGGACTGTTCTCAAACTGTGGGAGACAGTGAATGCAGGATGGGGCTTTTTGCCCGACTTCAAGTCCCTGTAGCTGCTGACCAGTTCTGTGTCATTCAAATACAGTAATTTAGGAAAATGGAATTGTGCCTGAGGATTGAGAATAGCTGATTGGTGCGAAAGGATGAGAGGATTTAGGGAATTTGGATTTCTAAAAAGATTTTTGGATCGTGTCTCAAACAGGATTTTGATAGGATTTTTAGATTTGTTCCTGGATACGTGTAACATGGATTTCAGAGAGACAGATCTTTGTTGTCTTGTGTTTCCATCAATATTTTAGTTCACTAAGCAGGACTGGGGAAGGAAGTAACATAGGATCCAGTTACTACTTTGTTAGGTGATTTTTATTTGTTTGTAGAAAATACTTTCACTTCAGTTTGCAGTGAGGTTACTTATTGACATTACCACAGTTTCACCTGACCTTAGGGGACCTTTGCCACTGCCCTTAATGTGGTATTTTGGCAACGTAACAGTGAGCGGCACTAATTAAGACTTCTTCCTGAGAAGTCTGCAGGATGTTGGGTCTGAGCTCTCCGTCTCGCATTAAGCCTCCCTCTTTTCCAGCATGGAAGCTTTGGTGTGTTCGTGCAGGGCTTTCCCCCCTCCAGTACTTCTCCTGCAACCCCACTTTCTTGCAGTGATGGCCCGCCGTAGCATACTGTGGTGTTCTTGATTGATCTTCTCGTTGGCGATACTAGTAACGAGTAAAAGCTTAGCAGTCAAGGGCAGCGGGAACTGTGCTCAACATAGCCATTGTGCTCCAGCTAGTGGTAAGCAGGGGGTGCTTCTTAATTAGGAATTAATATTCAAATACTTCTGGGGGGAAAAAAAAAAAAGAAAAAAAAAATCACATTCCAACCTCTCTGGATCACAAAATGTCAGTCAGATAATGGCACCCACATCTCTGACTTTACTTACTATTGGGGGAGAAAATAACAGATTTATCTATGCATAAAAGTAGTTATTTTTGTTTCTTCTCAGACTGTGCGATTGTAATTAATGTTAAGACGCTCTCTAAAACAAGGGATTTATTATAATGCAAGGGTGAGGATGGCTTCTATTGACCTTTTCCTCTGCTGGAGTTTCAGTGTTTTAGTATGTGCTGCTTGCACTGGAAAGAATTTATAATCACAAGGCTGTCAAAGACAACCATTGTTCTCCCTGCTCTGAACATGTGGGTCAGCTACAAGTGCTTTCATATCCCCCAGAGCCAGGAGCTGGCAAAGAGTAAAGAGCACAACTGAATTCTTCTGAGGCATCAGGAAAAGCGTTTTGCATATTTTTCATTGCTGATTGCTTCAGAAAGACATCCCTCTTTCATAACGGGAATTTCTCTTGAAGGTAGAGGGAGGCTGGGGCACACTGCTTCATTATTTTGCCGAGCTGAAGCAGCAACAACAAATGCTGTCTGCTGGTGTCCCGGCCAGATACAATAG